GTAACTAATTTCGTCCTGCTTGCTACAATGTCATCCACAGATTTCTTTAGGGCAGCTATCTCAAGCTCTAGATCTTTCTCTTTCTCTACAAAATCCTGTCCTATTTTTTCGTCTTTACATGTCACCACACCGCAAACAGATATGTATTCCACGCTTCGCCATCACAGTGATCTGACTGGAAATGTGAATTTGCCGCGCTCGATGAGTCAACCATGTGACGTCATATGCATATTTAATTAAGGATCTGCTTGTCGCCCTTTGTGCCGCAATTTGGCCATGTTTGAGTTGGAAAAAAATGCCGAAAACAACGTTTTCCTAGCGTCAAAACTTATTTTCCTTTTCAATTAGATATTGAACTAATAATTTATTGCTATTTTTCACTAGATTATTTTTGGCTTCAGTAGGACTTTCAAGAGAAGCCATTATCCTTTGCCAACTATTGACGATCTACTACCGGAACTGTCTAGGGCACAAGTCTCCTCTCTGGTTGACGTTAAGAATGGATTCTGGCATGTGCCTTTAGATGATGAGAGCAGTAAGCTGACAACCTTTGCTACACTCTGGGGCTGTTTTCAGTGGTTAAGGATGCCCTTTGGTATTTTGCCAGCTGCTGAGGAATTTCAGCGTAGGCTTAACGAGGCAATAGAAGGACTTGATGGAGTCAGGACTGTTGCAGATGACATCATTGTGTTTGGTGTTGGAGACACAAAAGGATGCGGCCCTGCGAGACAATGACACTGAGTTACAGAATTTGTTGGAGCACTGTCATCAGAAGCACATCACGTTGAATAAGGACAAGCTCAAGTTCAAACTCCACGAGCTGTCATGTGGGTCATGTCATTTCTGCTGAGGGGTTGAAACCTGATCCTTCCAAGGTAGAGGCAATACTGGGTATCCGTCACCTGCTGACAAGCAAGGAGTTCGCAGAATCATGGGAATGGTGAATTATTTGCAGAAATTTGCGCCTGGCTTGTCAGAGCATACGAAACCTATCAGGGACTTGCTAAAGGAGTATGTTGAATTTGTGTGGGAGGAAAGTGTCCATGGGGAGTGCTTCAAGCATGCCAAAGCAGTGATAGCTACTGCATCTGTTCTTAAGTTCTTTGACCCTAATGAGGAAGTTGTGTTACAATGTGATGCTTCTCAGCACGGTTTGAGTGCATGTCTTATGCAGAATGGGCAACCTGTGGTGTGTGCTTCTCGGTTGTTGACATAAGCAGAGTCAAACTATGCACAAATTGAGCAGGAACTCTTGGCTTTTCTTTTTGGAGTTGAAAAGTTCGAGGGTTATGTCTATGGTAAGAGGTTCAAGGTAAAGACTGATCATAAGCCACTGGAAGCGATTCTCAGCAAGAGTTTGTTGAGTGCTCTGAAACGTCTTCAGAGAATGATGCTGTGCTTGCAGAACTTTGATTTTGAAGTGGAGTACAAGAGAGGTAGAGCTTACCTACCCTGTGCACAGATTAAGGGTCCAAGAGAGAAAGTCTGCCTCACATTAGATTCTAGAACTCCTCTAGAAAAGGAATTGGAAAGTGTTAATGCATTCAGCTCTCTGTCTGTTACAACTAATGGCCTGGCTAGAGTCCGGCAGAATACGGAGGCAGATGGTGAAATGGCCCTCCTAAAGACCATCATTCAAGCAGGGTGGCCAGTTACCTTAGAGGATGTCCCATAGCGTGTGAAGGACTATTTTCACTATAGAGATGAACTCGCAGTGCAAGATGGGTTGATTTTGAAAGGTGAGAAGCTGGTGATTCCTCTGAGTATGAGAGAAGAAATCACGCAGAAACTGCATCACAGCCATCTTGAATACAAAATGGTGTCGAAAGTGCACAATTTATGAACATTATGGATATTGGACCCACAGAGACTTGAAACATTACAACAGTGAAGTCCTGTTCCTGCCATTTCTGCTGCTTTATTCTGACAACACCACATTTGATGTGAATCTGTTGAATGGATGCAGTGATTTACTATTTGTTGGCGCCATACCTTTTAGCACCTATACAGCTACAATCACGGACAAAAGTAGTTGGGAAGGAGGAAGAACTTAACAACATTATTGCTCCATTTCATACGCCTTATGTCTATGTTCAAAAAAGATTATTTGTTCTTCTTCTGAATACCCCCTGCGCCCCCTATTTAATGTTGGGACATGTAACAACAATTACGCACAAAAACAATTTAGTTTTGTCCAACATTGATCCAGGGGCGCGGGGGGACAAGTACAAAAAAGATAAAAATTGGTAACCTTCCCAACATTTTTGACGATGATTGTAGCCTGCGTAGCTGGCGGTATTGTGTGGGTGCAAGATTAAAGTTTTGGTGGCGGAGCCGTGTTCCAAAAAAAGGGAGTAGGGACGAGGCGGTTGAAATGCCGCCTGCCAGAAAACCCCGGTATTTTGAATAGTCCACACACTAGTGTGCGGAGAAACGGATTGGTTGAGGGCCATACATATGTCAACCATGTTAGATGATCCTTTGCATATATTTCCCAATTAAGGGAGCAGATGGCAAACTGGAAAAGACGTAAGTGATTGTGGTTTCCCCTTTAAAAGGAGCATAATTGATTACCAAATTGGCGAAATGGCATCTTTAAACTTCACAGCGCTGGAATTGTCTTTATTTAGCTGTAAGAAACAAAGGTCAAAGGAAATTAAATTGATGTGATAGATGTCTAATAATTCCTTAAGTCCACTCAATGGTTCCATTTTGCATAAATCGACAACCGGTGATAAATAACATAGTTGTCTGCTTTTTGTGAATTATTAGATAATAGTAAGGAATAAATAATATTAGGGACAATCTTACATGTTGTCGTTTCTGCTCATGAACACTGACACTGTCCTTCCACAGTGGACTTATAAGTTGCCTTATCAGCCCCCCAAGTGGCTTATACATAATGAGTCTCTGACAAGAGGAGTTGGGTTACCTCTTCAGTTAAGAAACTTTTGACAACATAGTCCCATTGTTAGCAGCTTACGTTTGACCACTATTTATATTTGTTAAAAGTGACATTACTAAGGGACGGACCATTAGATAAGTTATGGGAAGGGTGAGAAATTTCAAAAGGCATGAATTTTTTTTCGAAAACATCCTTTCCCAGCTTGTATAATTTTTTTTTTTGGCAATTGCACGAATACTTTTTAGCGTTACTTGGCGTACATGAATTTTTTCAATTAATTTTCCCTTGCGCGAAAAATTTTTTGCACTTTCCCTCCCTCCCAGAAGTTTTCTAATGGTCCATTCCCAATGTTCATTGTGTCGTGATGCAACGCTACTCCCCAGGGAGTACCGACTATGACACCACCGCAGCAGATCACTGTAGCAAACCGCAACAGCATTTTTAGTGTAGATCTATCGCATCCTCTTCGAGCAACATCCTCAATGGTTTGGAATTTCATTTCATAACCAAAAAACTCGGGAAGTTGCAGCATAAAATACTTATAGAGAAAATCAAGCGATTTGGAGGAACTGTGAGTAGTCACTTTGATCAAAGTACAACCCACGTGCTTTTTCCTTGCAGGGAAGATTCCTTGAAATCGACAAAAGTAAGAGACACAGTAGTCCTCGCGTCCATCGACCGGCTCTCTGCTTGCATTAGTGAACGGAAGCTAGTTCCAACAGTTCAATGCCAGGTACATAGTATGCAGTTAGTGCGGGTTTCAAGGAAGAGAGTCCTGCGAGGTCTTAGAAGCGCGGAAAGTAGGGAAAGCATGAGAACCAATGGAAATTTTAAAGGAGCCCTGGGAAATTCAAATGGTGGAGATCATTGTGTTTTTTGCATCAATCGCTTATGCGTTTGTAATCCAACATGTTTCGGCCCCCTTTATGGTAATAATGAACTTCTACACTGGTATCTCTGTAATCGACCTCAACATAACTAATTTCATTTTCTTTTGACACATTAAGCCCTGCCAGGTGGAAAAGTGTGACAGCGCTTGTGACTCTATCAACACGGACCAAGCAGAAACTTTCAGCCCTGTGCCTGCGAAAAATACTCCTAGGAGGATTAGATTTCCTGTCAGCGACACATCTAAGTCTATAGGAGCCAGTCTTGTGGTTGGAAAAGTGGGCAAGTGGCTTTCGAGCCAAAATTGACAATGCAACTTCAAAAACAATGGCAGATAAATTCACCCAGATCACTATTTACTTAATATGTGAATTACAGTAGTGATCAATATTTAAAGCTTGTTATTATTTTTTTAAATTGAACCAATCTAATGGCCTTATTCAATATTGTGTGAATTAGTAACTCAAGACGAAACATTTTAATTCAGATCAATTTTCAATATTTACAAGAGGCTTCCTCAGTTTTTTTTATGGTTGTATTAATGCAATATATTAAGCAGCAAATTAAATTTTTTACCATTATTGATAACCATATTAATATCAACCATATATCTGTCCCTGATTGTTGGCTAAATGATATTATGATAATGCATTTTTATTATTTGAATCCAGTGGTTTCGAAGTCAAATGTTTTGAAATATGGAAACTTGAGACTTTCATCACTTAGGTCTATGCGAGACCAAGTGAACTGATAGTGGCAATTCCTTAATTTGTTGCGAGATGCAACAGAGAGGAGACAAACCGTCATGAATGCCACGGCTGCAGCCTTTTGAAGAACTTACGCTAAAAGAAGTTTCCTAATTTTTCTTTGAATAGCTAAAAGTGAACGACCCTCAAGTGAGGGACTTTGTGGAGAAACTCATTAGCTACCTCCAAAATCGATTGGGGGAAATGGACCAGGTAATATGTCGTTTTAATTCACTATGGTAGTTTGTGCAATCGATTTTCTAATGTAACACCCAACATGGTTGCCATATTAGTTTTAATTCCAATTTTATCTTTCAGATAAACCCAGGGCTGGATCCTTTTGAGAGGTGGTAAGTAATAACTAGTGCTGACACTAAATAAACAGAGTTCGGTTTCACACAAAACTATGATTTTACTTAGGTATCATTAAATTGATAGATAATTTTTCTATGGCTAGGCAGGCTAGGTGGTGTGAGGTGGACTTTTTTTTCTTGTTGTGCGACGGATAAATTGTTTCTTTTTTCTAATCTAGGGACCAGATGATCGTGTTAACAGCGCTATTTTGCGCATTTCAATTTCAATCAGATGAGCCGGCTAACGGTAGGTTCAAATTCAATCAATGACAGTATTTATACTACTAAAACATGTCTCAGACAACTTCAGAGCTGTCTAGTATAAGGGATGGACCAGTCAATTTTTGTGGGGAGGAGGTAGTCCTCGTCTTGGGTTTCGCACTCGTTAAGTTTTTTCGGCACATGCTTTTAATTACCTATATTAGTTCTTCCTGTACTAGTCTATTTTCATCTACAAGTAAACTGAACAGGTAATCACCGTTATTCTGGTTATCCCCAAAAAGTTCCATGAAAAAATTAATAAAAGTGCCGCTTAATATAGTTTTTTTAAAATTGCTAAATTACTGATGTCGCCAAAATTTCATGTAATAAGGTAGCTTATAAAAGGGAGTTCCCCCTCCCCCGGGATAAAAAAGCAACAAAAAAATCACATGAACTCTCACATAACTTGTTTCACCACATGTGAAATTCGACCTTTGAACCGGGCCTATCAGTATGTTGCGTTTAGAATATTAACGGAAATGACTCTCTGACATTGTAACACTGCCAAACATCTGTAATAAAAGAATGCCTTCTCGAAAAATATCACACCTTCAGCTAAGCTACTCGTAAAGGACATGGCTTTAGCCTCCCACGCACTCGTTTTTAGGGGAGCTCGTATTTCGTCCCTCCCCTAAAAACGCCTGCGTGGGAGGCTAGACATGGCTGAGAGACAAGTTTTTACGGTAATTTCAGATCGCAAGCAAAGATACATTTCTTTACCATCTACGCTGTAGTCTTTTGAACAACTTATGCCAAAAGAAGTTTCCTACTTTTTCTTTGAATAGCTGGAAGTGAACGATCCTCAGGTTAGGGCCTTGGTACAGGAACTGATCAGTTACCTAAAAAACCGCCTGGCGGAAATTGATCTGGTAATTTGTCGTTTTTAATTCCCTATGGTAGTTTGTCCAATCGATTTTCTAATGTAACACCCAAAATGATTGCCATATTAGTTTTAATTCCGATTTTACCTTTCAGATAAACCCAGGGCTCGATCCTTTTGATAGGTGGTAAGTAATAACTAGTGCTGACACTAAATGAACAGAGTTCGGTTTCACACAAAACTATGATTTTACTTTAGGTATCGTTAAATTGATAGATAATTTTTCTATGGCTAGGCAGGCTAGGTGGTGTGAGGTGGACTTTTTTTTCTTGTTGTGCGACGGATAAATTGTTTCTTTTTTCTAATCTAGGGACCAGATGATCGTGTTAACAGCGCTATTTTGCGCATTTCAATTTCAATCAGATGAGCCGGCTAACGGTAGGTTCAAACTCAATCAATGGCAGTATTTATACTACTAAAACATGTCTCAGACAACTTCAGAGCTGTCTAGTATAAGGGATGGACCAGTCAATTTTTGTGGGGAGGAGGTAGTCCTCGTCTCGGGCTTCGCACTCGTTAAGTTTTTTCGGCACATGCTTTTAATTACCTATATTAGTTCTTCCTGTACTAGTCTATTTTCATCTACAAGTAAACTGAACAGGTAATCACCGTTATTCTGGTTATCCCCAAAAAGTTCCATGAAAAAATTAATAAAAGTGCCGCTTAATATAGTTTTTTTAAAATTGCTAAATTACTGATGTCGCCAAAATTTCATGTAATAAGGTAGCTTATAAAAGGGAGTTCCCCCTCCCCCGGGATAAAAAAGCAACAAAAAAATCACATGAACTCTCACATAACTTGTTTCACCACATGTGAAATTCGACCTTTGAACCGGGCCTATCAGTATGTTGCGTTTAGAATATTAACGGAAATGACTCTCTGACATTGTAACACTGCCAAACATCTGTAATAAAAGAATGCCTTCTCGAAAAATATCACACCTTCAGCTAAGCTACTCGTAAAGGACATGGCTTTAGCCTCCCACGCACTCGTTTTTAGGGGAGCTCGTATTTCGTCCCTCCCCTAAAAACGCCTGCGTGGGAGGCTAGACATGGCTGAGAGACAAGTTTTTACGGTAATTTCAGATCGCAAGCAAAGATACATTTCTTTACCATCTACGCTGTAGTCTTTTGAACAACTTATGCCAAAAGAAGTTTCCTACTTTTTCTTTGAATAGCTGGAAGTGAACGATCCTCAGGTTAGAGCCTTGGTATAGGAACTGATCAGTTACCTAGAAAACCGCCTGGCGGAAATTGATCTGGTAATTTGTCGTTTTTAATTCCCTATGGTAGTTTGTGCAATCGATTTTCTAACGTAACACCCAAAATGATTGCCATATTAGTTTTAATTCCGATTTTACCTTTCAGATAAACCCAGGGCTGGATCCTTTCGATAGGTGGTAAGTAATAACTAGTGCTGACACTAAATGAACAGAGTTCGGTTTCACACAAAACTATGATTTTACTTTAGGTATCGTTAAATTGATAGATAATTGGCTAGGCAGGCTAGGTGGTGTGAGGTGGACTTTTTTTTCTTGTTGCACGACGGATAAATTGTTTCTTTTTTCTAATCTAGGGACCAGATGATAGTGTGAACAGCGCTATTTTGCGCATTTCAATTTCAATCAGATGAGCCGGCTAACGGTAGGTTCAAACTCAATCAATGGCAATATTTATGCTACCAAAACATGTCTCAGACAACTTCAGAGCTGTCTAGTATAAGGGACGGACCAATCGATTTTTGTGGGGAGAAGGTATTCCTGATAAGAGATTTTCCCTTGCGATAAGATATGATGGGAGTCTCCTTAAAGATTTCTCTTAGCTGTTGCTGGTTTTGTATAAGGTGTCATTTCCCCATTAGTATTCTCTGCAGGCCACGCAAGGCCTGTTGGTATTGTGTAACAAAAGGTATTAGAAGTTTTTTACGTGAGCGGATTTGTTTCTCCGTTGTGGGGCTCTTTCTCCTCCCCTCATCTTGCGCTTCGCACTCGTTTAATGCTTCACGCGAAACGCCTTGTTCACCTCGCTTGGCTCAAGCGCCTGTTATGCAGGCTAATTTCTTCTTAGTATGAATTAATTTTCTCAGCATCGGTATTTGCCAGCAACACTCTGTAAAATTCCGCTGAAGAAGACAGTAAAGTCGAAACCGGTCCAGAAAATGGCTTGTTTTGGTTGAGATGGGTGGATCGGTACTCAACCACAACTACCATCCTTAATTTCCAGTGTGAAACCACAAGGGAGGTTCCCTTAGGGGAAATGGGAAGTATGCTTAACCTAGACACCTTCTCTTGGCATTAGAAAAGGTTCTGAAAGCCAAATAAATGAGTTTACTTGGAACCAAATAAAAAATTTTGTCTCCCCTTCCAATTTCTTCAATGCATGGATTTTTCTGGGGTGGGGTCGATTGCACCTTCAAAGGCTTAGAGGCTCTCGAATGTGAACTTTGAATTATCTTACAATGGTTTACGAGCGCAGGAGGATCACAAGATGAAAAGTAAAATTACTTTTGGGTAATAATCACCAGCTCCTATGATAAGGCCACTCGCAATACATTTACTTAGCCTCGATCTCATTATCTCGCGGAGACCCTTTATAAGAGGGTGTAACCTTTCGTTAAAAAAAACTGACATCAAGCGGAATCTTCGATAGCTGACCCGCTTATCCTTTGAACAAGCAGCTCTCCTTGGGAATTCAGCACAACAAACGTTAAGTATATCTCATTTCCTTCTCGTTTTCAACTGTTTGCGGTTATGGTTAATACCTCCAACCTTCTCTTTCTTCATCATTCCTTTGTGAGGCGTTTACAGACATTCCTCACCGAACATCATGAAAGGTGTGCCACTCACAACATGAACTTGCCTCACGAAAATGTATCTTTTCTAGGCATTGGCGGTAGAACCATCTCTAAGAAGCTGTCATTTGATTTGGACAAAATTAAGGCTTTTCAGCCAAAGATTATCATTTTGGAACTGGGAACTAATGATCTGTGTGTGATGGGGCAGCGCCCTGAATCTGTTGGTTCAGATATTGAACATTTAGTTCAAGTCCTCCATGATCACTGTGGAGCAGAATTTATAACGATATGCCTAGTAATTTACCGGTCTGCTATTTCTCCACACGACCCGATTTCAGCCACAAAGTAGACCTTCTCAATAAATATCTCAAAGTGGTCCTTGAACCACTCCCTTGTACTGAAGCGTGGAGCCATAGAGGGCTTCAAAGTCCATCTATTGCTATTTCATTCTGAGATGGCATTCATTTGAACGAAGTGGGCGACTATGCTCTTTATCACAGCTATAGGGGAGCCATACTATTCACCTTGAAGAAGTTAGCCACTTTTTCAGAGGCTCAGTGACAGATTCCAACTTGTCTATCCAGTCATGCATTCTACTTTCATTGTAACCGTCCTTTGCTGCGGACAGGAGAGTTTTATCTTAAAAGGAAGGCTGTTAGACAGGGTGGTATCATTAATCAATTTAGGAAGCAAGTTACTACCTGTGGCTATGCCATTAGCCAAAGAAGCTATCGCATCGCTTGGAACAGGAGCATTATCAGGATAAGCCAGTTTAGGTGTGGATAAAATATTCGGAAAAGGTCAATGAGGTTTTCTTGTTCCAATAGATAAAATAGCACAATTGGTTGCATACAAACATTTACTGACCACGGGGCAGAAAAAGGATATTCTTAGCTCTCTCCAAACTGGCAACAGATTACTTATCCGGCCAACTAAACCACAGAGCAGTGGATTCTTAGGAACTCTACTGGCTAGTATAGGAGTCCCCCTGTTGCTAAACACATTAATGGGAAAAGGACTACAGGCCTATAGAACGGGTTCCACTAATACAACATCTGTTTATCATTATTAGACATTATACATAACCCTAAATTCAGTTCCACTAATCAAATGATAAATCACCAATTTCTGATAAACTATTTTATGTAATCCTATTATATATGACTGAAAAGGTCTGTGTTTATTGCCAAGAAATTACTCCGCATTATGTGAATCAATATGGATGTTTCGATTGCTGCAACTGTGAGCCCTTGAGTGAGAGTGATTATAAGTCAGATAGCAGCCATGATACTTATGTTCCAGATAGTGATTAGACAATAATTATATACCATAAATAGATAATAATGGTGAAATCCTATTGTGTTAAACAAAAGAAGCAAACAGAATGTGTAGAACCTTCGGGTTATAAAACTGCCAAAAGTGGTAGACTTATGTTTTGGTGCACTTGTGCTGAATGTGGAATAAAAAAGTTTCAATTTGTAAAGAAGGGAAACTAGATCAGCCTGTCCTTGGGGCAGGCGTAATCGATACAATAGCTGGTACTGCTCTTGATGGGTTTGTACATCACGCCCTACCATATATGGCCAAAAAGACCGTTGAGATGGGCAGATATTACGGTTCTGAAGCTTTACGTGAAAAATTTACAGAAAAAAGCTATAGATTATGCTCTAGATAAATTAAATCCAATGATTCAGAATGTCGGTTCTCAAGCTCTTGACCAATTATCAACTAAAATACGACCAAAGAAAAACTACAAAACTAACAGGAAAGATTTGGATGGAGGTGCTATAGATATCCACAAGCAGATTGGTAAATTACCAAGACCCGCAGGTGGCTGGACATTACTGGGCCATAAATACACAGGGCCATACAATGATCTCGAAAATCAAGTAAGAATCCAGAAACTGGTGAAATATTAGAAATTTATGATCAACCAACTGGGCCAACCGATGCTGTGGCCATGCAGCACGATATCGATCATAGTGTTTGCGGTGATAACCGAAAGTGTAAAAATAAAGCTGACCGTAAAATGGTAAAATCATTAGACGCCATTCCTTATAATGAACGACAATAGGGTCACTGGTTAGCTAGAAATATTATAAACACAAAACAAAAACTGGGTCTTGGTTTAAACTAGAAAAGCCGTCGGGTATTAGTTGGCCGCAACAATTAGCAGATGAACTACATAGACCCATAAAACGCAGCTTTACTCGGTGGCGTGTTATTACAACCGGTATTGATAAAATTTGGTGCTCTGATCTGGTTGAAATGCAACAGTTCAGTAAATGGAACAAAGGTTACAGATATCTCCTGATGGTATTAGATCTGTTCTCCAAATATGGCTGGATTGTCCCATTGAAGGATAAGAAAGGAGAAACTCTCACAGAAGCATTCAAAACAATCTTCAAGGAGGGCCGCAAACCACAATATCTATGGACTGATAAGGGGAAACAATATTATAACAAAAACATGAAAGAACTGTTGGAAAAGAATAATATAACATTATATTCAACCGAGAATGAGGAAAAATCTAGTGTATGTGAAAGATGGAACCGTACAATTAAAACCAAAATGTGGAAGCAGTTTACTGTCCAGGGTCATAACCAATATCTTGACATACTACCAAAAATATTGAAGCAGTATAATAATACCAAACACAGTTCCATTAAAATGACACCTGTAGAAGCCAGTAATATATAGATTTAGCCAGGGCTAAAAGCGAAGCTCCCGTTAATAAATTCATAATTTAAATCAAACAATATTAAAACTTGTAATCTACAGATCAGGGCACATTCATTTGACTTTTGAGGCAAAGGCTGAGTGATTTTAGAGAAAAATCAGAATTTGACCGTCCAAGAGTGAAACAAATTTTACATCAAGTTATTTGTACACCGAAAAATAGCAATCATGTTCGATCACAGTAGGTTAGGCCTGGAAAACAGATAGACCTATTCGTGTATTGTATTTGCAATAGCTGTAGCATCATAATGTGGCATTCACCAGTCTCTCCAACATTGCTCCGTTAGAGAGACTGGATAATTGAACAACCCCGAAATATAATTTTAAGAAACACATGCGCCACGATAGTCCTTGGTGGCAGCCAATTTACANAACTAACAATCAATAAAATTAGTTTAATTCGGTGAAACAAGTACAGAGACAATAATTTTCATTCACGAAGAGAAGTATTGAGAGTAAAGTGTCTCAGAAAATCATGAGTCAGGCAAGCATAAGCTTATTGATGTTTTAAGTCGGCTTCCCGGTGTTCGCTCTTTTTCAAGATGAACTCGAGGCAAGAAAATCGCTCAGAGCTTTCTGTCTACAGCCAAAATCATAACTAAATAATCTTCAAAACCTTTTCTTTGAATTTGCGGGTCAAAAAATGTCTAAAGGCTTTTTAAACCTGATACTATTGTAGGTTAGCTCATTGCTCGTGTTTTAACTTAAGCCGCAAAAACCATGCGCTCGACTTCAGGAAACCGAAAAAAAAAGAAAAACATTAAAAACAATAATGGCTCAAGCTTACCAGTCGAGATGCTACTTCTGAAGGTCATCAAGTGTTCCAGAATCGCTTGAGACTTTTCAACCTTCTTACGCCTCAAGCAAGGGCAAGTGAGTAAGCTCATTTTTGAGAAAAGATGCCATCCGAAATCGGATTTCCAATGACTTTGACAAGCAGTGCATTTGTCAACAAAAAGCGCAATAAACAAACCAGCCATGAATTACAGAACAATCTTGATAGCAGCTGTTTTTCATTTTGTACACCAAGTAGAAAAACAGTTTAAAACATCACAAGATGACACAAAACTCTCTCAGCTCCAGCTATCAGTAAGCAAGTTTCCAGACGCTGCACAAATTTTCCGCATTAACTCACCTGTCAAATTTTGACCAATCAGAACATAAAAATTGGACGTAAAGCGTGATCAACGCGAGACAGTGAGAAAAGTCAAAAGCGATTGCCTTCCCTGCATGTAAATGTAAAAGCCGGTTGAATTTTCGTGTCCGAGATCAGTTCGAAATCAACATTTTAACAGTGCGGCTCATGAAACTCGACTTATTTCATATGCATTTTAAAAAAATTGAACTTGAGCCTGCGATCATTTGAAAAGTAGCAAGTTGTCAGCGAATACCTTCAAAATATTACTCAAACTCAGAGGGTCGATACCTGAGCCTGCGATACGGTCAGGCGATACTGGTCAGCAGAAACACTGTTTTGCCAGCTGTCAATTAATCAAAACATGGATGTACAATATCAGGTTGCAGGCTCCCAAACTAGCTAGAGAGTGTGAGATTAAACATTGGTATGCCTGTGGTGCGGACGGACGGAAGGTTGAGTGGTCGGTGTACGGTCACGTGATTGTCGAATTTTCTAGGATGGATAGATTTTCTATAAAGCTATGGGGCTTCGAATCGAGCCCGTGATCAAATAAAATATCAGCGCAAAACTTTAAACACTACGTGACCTCAATAGATAGAAAAATGAGCCCGCGATCCACTCAGGTGATGATGGTCAGCGTATATTCTAGTTTGACAGCTGTCAATTAACCTTCATTAGAATGGCGAATATTCGAATTAACAGACTACTAGTGTGAGTAGGACATTTCCGCCCGACATGTAGTGGAAAATGCCAGATTGTGTACCTGACCGAACCTGAGCCCTCGTTATTAGTTTTCTGATAGGGGTCTGGACATGTCCCATTTTGACAGCTGTCAATTGACCTTAATTTGGCCTGCCAATGTAACTTTAAACGACTGTGAGCCAACTGACAGCCTTGCCCGGCGTAGCTTCGTTTTTATGTTGAATTGGTAAGTGTGACATATTATATCAGCTTATATATAGGGGCAAAACGACTGGTCTTTTGTCTGAGCCCGCGAGATGGTCATGTGATAATTGTCAGCGGATGTCTTATTTCGACAGCTGTCAATCTAATCGTACTTATACGGATGGCTTACATAACTAAGAGGCTAGTCAAGTTGTGCAAGATCTATTGTGACATTTGACATCGGCTTACATGAAGTGTGTGTACGGACGGGCGTACGCTACGTCATAACCAAATTTTCTGGGATGGATAGTTTACCAAATTTTCTTACCCATGGTGCTCCGCTTCGCGCGCGCAGGAGCTCCACTAAAAAGAACAATGAAAGTGCCGTATATTACAATCTGTATGGTGATATGAAACAGTTATCATCTAAGCCCAAATTCAAGATTGGTGATAAAGTTAGGATAAGTAAGTACAAGAGAAAGGTGTTCGGTAAAGGGTACACACCTAACTGGACAGATGAGATATTCCTGATCGATAAAATCTAATCAACAAATCCAATCACCTATAGATTAAAGGATCTCAATAAT